CTCTTGACAGGTAAACACTACACGTGAAGAGAGGTGAAAGGGAACGCTGATTACTGAAGTGGCCTGGAGAGGGAAAGCACTGGTCAACGTCACATGGACAAACTTCATTGTTTTCTAAAGATGGCCTGGAAGTAGACTTTGCCACTGCTTCCTCCACAAACAGCTGTTCGTAACATGGGCTGCATGAAATCAAAGCAAACTTTCCCATTTCCTAACTTATATGAAAGTGAGAAGCAGCATGAGAGTGAAGAACCCTTTATGCCAGAAGAGAAATGTCAACCTAGGATGCCTTCTCCAGTTAATGTCAAAGAGGAAGTGAAGGAACCCCCAGGGATCAATACTGTGATCTTGGAATATGCACACCACCTGTCCCAGGATATCTTGTGTGATGCCTTGCAGCAGTGGGCATGCAATAACCTCAAGTACCATGACATTCCATACATTGAGAGTGAGGAGCCTTGAGGCTGTAGGATGACAACACTTTGACCGTGGAGGTGGTATTTTGAATACATGCAACAAAAGCAAAACCTGGTGTGCAAAAGTACAAATAACTATCTGGATTTCAAAACGCGTCTACGATAATGTCACTAGTGTTAGAATACCTAGGATGAAATGCATTTGAAGAACTTCTACATTAACAGCAATTTCTGTTTAGTCTTAGATTTTAATCATCTGAAGGGCTAAACAGAGGTCCTGTGATACCCAATAATGAGCTGTATCTCATAGCACTTCTTTCTAAGTAATGGCATCACCAAAGAAAATGCTAAGGAATAAAAACTGCCCCAAATTCTAAATGGTTATTTTAAAAGTTGTCCTTTAAAATAACAATTTTCACTAATTTATACCCAAAAAAGTCCAGATATGTAAAGGGCTTTTCTAAAATTCCTTGGCAAGGGAATGGCACTCAATTCACAGTGATTAACAGTAAGTCTTGTTAGTCAAAATCATGCATCAAGGATCTCTACTTCTTGACACAAATGAACCCTGTCTTTAATAAGATATTTATTTTTGTAGATGAGAAGTGTAACTACCACCTTGGACCTCAGGGCCCTAAATAATTACAGCTGCTACTGGACAACTTAGACTTTGTGCCTAATGCCTCTTAACGATAGCAGTTTATAGAAGCCATGACATTAGTGTTTATTGCATTGAATTAAGAAGCCAGTGATATAACTATACAAGAAGACTAGCATGGGTACCTTTTATAAACAGCAATCCAGTAAATCTTAAAAATAACAGAAGCCTACTCTGCAAGGTAGAAATTTTCAGTATTGTGTATTAAGCTTTACTGTCTGGGAGGTGCAAAGGGCTGGAATATGGGCATTTATCCCCAGTATTTTATTGACTAGTGGGGCAGTCACCATTAAAATTACTGTGAGACCAGGTAAGTAATGCATGAAGATTTACAGTTATATTGCAAAACAGAAAAGATAAAACTGTCCTTTGAGGAGAGTACTCATTTTCTGGGTTTTTGTTATTTTTTAGTGGTAACACAAGCCTATAGGACATTTATAGCCACCTATTAGGGAAACTGTTTTTCATTTTTACTGTCATAGCACATAAACACACCCCTTTTTGTTTTAAAGGAGTACTTTAAAACAAAAGGTCAGTGGTAACAGAAAATTTGGAAAGGGGAAAATGAAATTAAGACAACTTGTTGGAAAATTAAGATAGTTTCTAGAATTATCTTTTCATAAGATTTGGTACACAGTGAGTTTAAATGAAAAGGAAATTATTTAAGCCTGTGTATGTTAGAGCCACAATACACCACTGGTATTAAAAACTAAAGGTTAAAAAAAAAAGCTTATAACCTCTTTAATAAGATAAATATGTATTTGCCTTGTAAGCAGGCAGAAAATCTACCTCTAATTTTAACACTAATGCTTTGAAACCCAAAATCAAATAGAGTGAATTCTCCAAGTTACATGAGCAAGGAAAACATTATTTGAAACATGCCATATTTCAGTTGCCTTTGGACACTTCATCATCCAACTTTAATTTTACCAAGTTCCATGATTTGTACTGTCCCACTATACTTGCAATCTATAATTTATATAATAGAAAAACCACCAAACCCATTCATACAAGGATCTGAAGTTATAAGGCTAAGGGCAGAAAGTTTCCCATTAGTATAAAACATTTCCAGGTCATGAAGAGTAGTTTAGGTTGAGTGACAAAAGCATAGGTATGGTTGTTTTTCATTCATTTTGTATCTCACACCAAGACACTTTTGCTGCAAGGTCATTTGCTGCTTAAAATGTACAATTAGGAATATAAAATAAGTACTAATAAGAAAACACAAAGCCACATAAAGCAGCATGTCCCACTAAATTTTTTAGTATACATAGGGACAGAGACGAGTGAGTTTTGCCTGTATCTAAGCTTTTTAATTTCAGGTTTCTTCTCTGCCCTGGACCCCTATTTCCCCAGGGTGTAACAGGGATACCTGCCGGATCCATATCAGTTGGAAGTCTAATCTCTGTTCCTGCCCTCTCTCAGCAACTATGATAGTATAGTTTTATCACCAAGCACCATTCCCTTGTTCCTGATTCACATTTTAATAGAGTATGCTATCTTGTGTACAATATTTCCAAAAGACTTATCTTTGAAATATATACTGTATTATACATCATCCCATGACATACATGAACTACAAATCTTGCATAATCAGTGAGTTAGTGGATAAATCAAGATGGGAGAGAAAGAGATGAATAAACAAATGAATAAAAAAGACGACTAAATGAATGAGAGAGATGAACAAACAAATTTACATTACATGTGATAATTATCATGATATAGGTTGGCCTTCATGACAAGACAGATGAGAGTATCATTGATAGGATATTAGCCGTCTTTCAGATCTTTATATTGAAATACTGGCTTTACTTCAATTTGAAGGTCTTTCATGAACAATAAAAGAGAATGGAAGGACTGCCTGAGAAGCCAGGAGACATATAAAACAGATAACTGAAAGACTTACTAGCTCCTGGAGAGGGAAACCTTTGCAACATCCAGTGTAAGGGCAAATGAGCTTTTACCAGCACAACCAAGAACCTCCAGGTGGCAACTGTGGAAGCAGGTTATCAGAGAAAATAAACGTGCAAATTCCTTGTTTACAAAGACTCTACCCCACAAATATGCTTCACTGCTGCCTTCCCCAGTTGTTTCTTATGTACTGTTGTCACCTTTCAGTTACATGCCTTTGATCCTAAAATTCTCTACTTTTGTTGCCTTATCAGTTCTTTGCAATCTGCCAGTGGTTATTAGCACTTAAAACACAATTTTGAAGGGGACAAAAGTGATTATCTTAGTCCCAAAGAAATAATTTGTCAAACTGCCTTATTAGTATTAAAAACAGACACACTGAATGAAGTAGCATGATATTTATCCGACTCAATATCATTGGCCTTTTATGAAATGAGGAAATTATATAGTTTTAAAAATCAAAAGTCAGAGACACTTTATAAGTAATATCAAGGAACAGTAATTTAAAACCAAAGTTCTAAAAAATACATTGTTTGAGTCATCACAATGTCCTTATCCTGGATTTGAATGACCAAATAGGACATATCTTTTTTGGAGCTGTGGGCATTAGCTCAGAAGCACTACCTGAATCTTAATTTTCTAAACTCGAGTTTTATTTGCAATCTTCTTCTCTGTAAGACTTAGCTATGAAGTGGTATATTTTTCCAAATATTTTTCTGAAAACATTTGTTGTAACTGCACAATAAAAGTCCAGTTGCAAGTAACCAGCTGTGAGTTCTTATTTAACTGAAGCAAATCCCTTCTGACATTGTGTACTTTCAATTTTTTTAAACAATATAAAAGACAACAATTTCTGCATTGTTAACAAATATAGAGAATAAAAATCCACTTATACAAATAATTTCTTGGTTCATTCAGGTCCAATTTAGGACCTTTTAGAATATAAATGTAAAT